GTTTCTTCAACGTTAGAGCAAAGTAGAAGAAAAGAGACATCTACTTTGGGTTGATTTCTGAAAAATCCCAAAAATTGTACAGACCTGCAAAACGATCTGTCGCCGCTGACCGTACGAATTTTGGAGTCGTCGCGCTCCGACTAGCCATCATCGTCTGCGTACCCGTCGCTGTTGTCCGCCAGAAAACCCCCCACGCTCCTTTCGCCCATCTCTGGGCTCCGAATGAACATCGTCGATTGTCGACGCCGCACTCTGGCGACCACCGTCAGTGCCGTTGTGAGCTCCACCTTTGATCCCGATTTTCTGGTCACCCCACCTTATCGACGATTACGACCGGCCACCGCCTTTGCGGTCTGACTGCCACCGCTACCGCGGTTTTGGCACCTTCTATCTCGATTTTTCCAGATTTCTAATTTTTTTTTACTTTCTACAATACTTTTCGGAATTTTTCGATTTTTTAATTTATACAATCTTCAAATATATTTTCTTTCTTTTCATCAATAAAAATTTTAAAGCATTCTTCAACAAAAACAAATAACAAACTTTTTGAGTTTTATAGAGAACATTTCCTTTCGGCAATGTAGCCCCTTTTCAAAAGAAATCTTAAGTTGATTCATCTTCCAGCCATAGTAAAAAAAGTTTCAAGAATAACCTTTCTAATTGGAAGACCAACAATTTTTCCTTTGCATGATGAACTCAATTGATAAAGTTAGATTTTCAAGGCATGTTAATTCAGGCCATCGCTTTATTTTTGTCATGTTTCTTTAATTGGAGACCTAGAGAATTGGATAAAACTTTCATTTGTCTAAGAGATGTCTCTCAAGACAAGTTGGTAACAATGGCATGGGAGAAGACTTGTATACCTTTAGATCATGTTGGGTTTAGCCTAAGATCTTTGGTGGCTCTCAATGAAGCTTCCAATTTGAAGTTGCATTGGGACATGCTTTATTCTTGTGAATCACATGCTATCATCTTATGAAGCTAGTTTCATAAGAGGTTTTGCAGAGAAAATTGATTTTTATACTGCTTATCAAGTTGGGCTGCATGGTGCATTGCTATAGAAGTGGTTGAAGAGCTAGCATATCACAGCTTATGAGTTGAAAGTTAAGATTAAGAGAATATTGTAATTAATAAAAGCACCGTATAAACAAGAATTTACATCCCAAAGTTAAAATATTGAAAGTAAAAACTAAAGGAATTTACAACCAATAAATTCAATTGTTAGGGTTTGATTCATCATCATTCCCATCACCATAATAACCGCCACCCAATTCACAAATTTTATCCCAAATTAGGTCAAGAACTGGAACAACAGAAAGCCTAGGCTGCTTCAACAGTACAAAATCCTTCAAATCTTTCATCTCTTTCAAATCAACCGCTCTTCTCATTTCGCCGACAGCTTTCACGTCCACCGCACCACCGTCGTTTTCTTCGTCGGTGTACCATTCCTTGACGACGGTAACACCCTAAACTAGTAGGAGCACAATCACATATGTATATTTAATGAAACTGGATTCCTTGCAATCGGCAAATGCCACATTCGCACAGTCACAATATTCATAGCCGTTAGATCAAAATCAAACGGTTCAGACTTAATTTTGAAACATGAACCGTTTGACCTGATCCACAATCACAAATCTGTGACTGCATGAATGTGTGCTCTCACTAACCGCAGTGAATCACAATCCATACTTAATAGTTGTCATAGACTTGATTGTAGCGTAGCACACCCATATTTGATTTCATGCTTTCATGTCATAATCAACATAGAGATGGTCCAGTCAATAATTCAACTCTCTCGTTAACAAACTAATAAGTTACAACTAATATTTGTTTTCTTTTCAGAAAAACCAAGAGGTTGTGGAAGTTAGTTCAGTTACCAGAAACTTTCATATGCACAGTGTTCCATGATCAAAACAAACACATCATAAAAAAGACTGCCTTCCTTTTCACAAGGTGAATGAAAGTGTACAAGTAAAACTAAAAGGTAGGTTTATCCACAAACAAGTTGGCAACTTTTACTGCGAGTAAGAATGCATATCAAACTACAAAATTGGGGGGAAAATGTGTGAATAGGGAGATATTACACGCTCTTGCATATACTTTTTAGAATTTGTTGAATCTTGAACCCAATGAATCTCACTCATGTTTGGTGTCTCAACATAGGACATAGTAAACTCTCCTATCTTCTCTAACTTCCCTCTCTTACCCGCCCTTAAGACAAGGTTGCTGCGCTGGTAGGAAAATATACCATTGGTTAGATGAATTATATCACCTGAATCAAAAGCATCGCACTCATCTCCCCAAAGCTGAAAATGAACTGCCGCAGTCTCATCAGCTACAAGCGCTAAACACACTTTATTTTGCCCTTCAAGTGTTGTCTTCCCTTTGTCCAAGATTATAAATTTAGTGTCTATGTTGTTTTGAGCCGCAGGCACAATGTCTTTGAGAACAATCATCTTCCTAAAAAAGGCCACACTTCATTACACACACAACATACATAATAGCTGCAGGATAGTAATAGACAACCCTTCATATATATTTCAATAACTTGTTATGGATATTTAACTGTTTTTTCACTTTTAATTAATTATATCAATGCAATTTCTTTATGACATAAATTAGGAAGAAAACAAGGCAAAGAAAAATAAAAGCAAACCTTGGGAAAAACAACTGTGAAGAACATTTCTAACTAAAAACAAAAGAATGCAAAATCCAGCACAATTAAGAACAAAAATGAGTCAAGTAAGAACATATAAACAAAACTTAACTAAAAAACAAGTACAGTCAGATTAAATGAGGCAACATGGCGGATTGTCTTAGAATTTAACTCAACCTCTCAAAAATAAGCTAGCAAGTTAAGATTATCCTCACTTATAAATCCAAGTTTAGACCATATTTCATCCAATATAGGACTCTTAACACACACTCTTCACACTTAGAGTTGAACATCTAGAACATAACCCGAGTGGTCTGATAGTTGAAACCTGATAACATGTAGTCCAATGGATCTTGGATAGATTATGATATCATCTAAACATTTCTAGGTTATTAATTAGAGGATTATTGGATTTTCTGTTTTCATGTACAAGTTGTAGTTGAGACTTAAGATTGGAAGCACAAGTTAAACTAGAAAAATATAGTTTATAATTCCACACACATTCTACCATCACAATATAAAGAATTTTGAAATCTGCACAACAGCATAGCAACCGTAATTTATACAGCATCTTTCAGTATTTTGCCGCAATATAAAGGTTTAATTTAGCCGCAATAATCACATCTGCAATGGAGATTTAAAACAATGCAAGTAGTATTTGATAACAAAACAACAACATTTACCTGTGAAATTGAATATCAAACCAAACTCTAAACTAATCAATATTGAAGCAAGATACAAGGCGAGAGAAAGCACAATATGTTTTCGTGCTACGCATTGATTTTCGAATTATATTTTTCAATTATAGTAGGGTAAATTGGCGGGAAGAAGAAAGGGAATTGGCGGGAATTATAATTAATATAAATATTGGGGAAATTGGGAGTAAATAATCAATTCAGAAAATGGGAAAAGAGGTAAAGAGGTTTCTACTGAAAACGGAACCATCAGAGTGGTCGTGGGAGGATCAAGCTGCCAACGGCGGGATAAGCAAATGGGACGGCGTTAAAAACAAACAAGCTCAGAAATACCTGAAATCAATGTCAATCAACGATCTCTGCTTCTTCTACCACTCCGGTACCAAGGCTCGTCGAATCGTCGGCGTTGTTACCGTCGTCAAGGAATGGTACACCGACGAAGAAAACGACGGTGGTGCGGTGGACGTGAAAGCTGTCGGCGAAATGAGAAGAGCGGTTGATTTGAAAGAGATGAAAGATTTGAAGGATTTTGTACTGTTGAAGCAGCCTAGGCTTTCTGTTGTTCCAGTTCTTGACCTAATTTGGGATAAAATTTGTGAATTGGGTGGCGGTTATTATGGTGATGGGAATGATGATGAATCAAACCCTAACGATTGAATTTATTGGTTGTAAATTCTTTTAGTTTTTACTTTCAATATTTTAACTTTGGGATGTAAATTCTTGTTTATTCGGTGCTTTTATTAATTACAATATTCTCTTAATCTTAACTTTCAACTCATAAGCTGTGATATGCTAGCTCTTCAACCACTTCTATAGCAATGCACCATGCAGCCCAACTTGATAAGCAGTATAAAAATCAATTTTCTCTGCAAAACCTCTTATGAAACTAGCTTCATAAGATGATAGCATGTGATTCACAAGAATAAAGCATGTCCCAATGCAACTTCAAATTGGAAGCTTCATTGAGAGCCACCAAAGATCTTAGGCTAAACCCAACATGATCTAAAGGTATACAAGTCTTCTCCCATGCCATTGTTACCAACTTGTCTTGAGAGACATCTCTTAGACAAATGAAAGTTTTATCCAATTCTCTAGGTCTCCAATTAAAGAAACATGACAAAAATAAAGCGATGGCCTGAATTAACATGCCTTGAAAATCTAACTTTATCAATTGAGTTCATCATGCAAAGGAAAAATTGTTGGTCTTCCAATTAGAAAGGTTATTCTTGAAACTTTTTTTACTATGGCTGGAAGATGAATCAACTTAAGATTTCTTTTGAAAAGGGGCTACATTGCCGAAAGGAAATGTTCTTTATAAAACTCAAAAAGTTTGTTATTTGTTTTTGTTGAAGAATGCTTTAAAATTTTTATTGATGAAAAGAAAGAAAATATATTTGAAGATTGTATAAATTAAAAAATCGAAAAATTCCGAAAAGTATTGTAGAAAGTAAAAAAAAAATTAGAAATCTGGAAAAATCGAGATAGAAGGTGCCAAAACCGCGGTAGCGGTGGCAGTCAGACCGCAAAGGCGGTGGCCGGTCGTAATCGTCGATAAGGTGGGGTGACCAGAAAATCGGGATCAAAGGTGGAGCTCACAACGGCACTGACGGTGGTCGCCAGAGTGCGGCGTCGACAATCGACGATGTTCATTCGGAGCGCAGAGATGGGCGAAAGGAGCGTGGGGGGGTTTCTGGCGGAAAACAGCGACGGGCATCAGCCCTTGTAAGAAGTGTAGGTTTAAATGCATCAGCCCTTGTAAAAAGTGTAGGTTTTCTAGCTTGGGTACTTGTTTCTCCAAGAGAAGTGCTCTCGGATGGTGCATCTAAGAGGGCAGCCTCAACATTCTTACTGTGCTCAGATTTATACCAATTGTATAGTGTAAATAGACTTTTCTTGACACACTCAATACTTTTCTTAGCAATTGGACTACCATCCCCATGCATGTCATTGAAAGACCACTCAACATAACTGAACTTAAACCTAGGGTCAAATATCACTCCAAAAAATAGGAAATGATTCACTTTTTCAACATCCCCCCAATATTTATCAAATTTGGTCTTCATATTTGAAACCATTGGAGCGACATAGGTATTCATGTTCAAGGAAGCTTCTTGAAGCTTACACAAAATTTCAGACAGGTTATGAAAGGCAGAATGTATCGACACTTCTTGCGAAGATGAAAACAATTTGGTTGCATCATAGAATGTTTTCAAAAAAATCACAAAAGCCCTAGATTTTTCCCAATCAATAGAACAAGGAGGACCCGAGAGGTTAAAAAATTCCATGTACCCAGGATCCTCATCCTCTAACTTCTCAAACGCTGCCTGAAACTTCTCAGCAGCATCCAACATCAAATATGTGGAATTCCATCGTGTGGAAACATCAAGGCCAAGTTTTCTTTTACATGTTATCCCTACAATTTCAATACACTCCTTAAACTTTAAAGCTCGTTGGGGTGAGGACCTCACAAACCTAACAGCTTCGCGAACACTTTCAATAGCCAATTCATGATCTTTTTGCCCATCTCTCACTACTAAGTTTAAGATATGGGCAGCACACCTCATATGAAAAAAACTCCCATCACCAACTAAAGCATTCTTGCTTTTAAGTCTTTTTCCCAAATAAGAAACGGCCACATCATTACATGTTGCATTATCAAGGGTAATTGTTGACACTTTTCTAAGCCCCCATTCATTCAAAACATCCTCCACTTTCTTACCAATGGTGTCACCCTTGTGATTTGGAACTAAACTAAAACTGATAATCTTTTTATGATAGTTTCATTCATTGTCAATGAAGTATGCAGTTATGGCCATGTAACTAAGATTTTGAATTGAAGTCCAACAATCAGTGGTTAGTGCAACCCTAGGACAATCAGATTTAAAGAAGGCTTTAAGTTTCAACTTTTCGGCTAGGTAAAGTTGAAAACAATCCCTAGCAACAGTCCTCCTTGAAGGGATGGTCATTTGTGGTTGTAGTTGTTTGCATAGTCTCTTAAAACCCTCACCCTCTACCACTCTAAATGAATGCTCATCAAGAAGTACAAAGGAAGTAATAGCCTTCCTACATGCTTGAGCATTGAACCTTTGGCTTGTTGAACCTAAAAAACCACCTTCACCACTTACAAGGTTTCTTTGAGTGGGATCTTTCTGTAAAAGGTTAGGGTTTTTGTGACACACTTTTGAGTGAGCTAACATGTTAGATGTTCCATGTGTTTTAGGGTCGCATCGATATCTTTTGTGACAATGTTTACACGCAGCTATTGGTTCAGGTTCATCCGGTAAAATGTTAAAGTCTAACCAAACGGTGGAAGTTTTCCTAGATCCACTAGCATTAACTAGTCTTTTTTTCCTAGCAGGGGGGAGAGGAGGAAGTGCGGTTTCTACTGCTTGTGTAGGTTCAACATAGGGAACAGGATGTTCCATCACTGAAAATATTTTGGTCAACAAAAACACTTAGTCCTATATAAATAATGTAAAACAGTTACTTACATGAACAATTTAAATGTTAGACTAAAAAAGATCATGTAAGACAAGACAATACCTGCAACTGCAAGACAAGACCATGCATCAGGATACTTAACATACACTAAAGGTTGACAATACCTGCAAGACAAGACCATGCATCAGGATACTACATAGATCAATGCAACTACTGTATTTTCTCAAAGGGAGAAAATGGCTACCATACTCAAGCAACATGCCTAATCTGTGAAAAAAGTTAAATAAAAAATGATGTAATCCAATCGACATTTAACATGTAAAATCTTTTCTATACCTTTAATACATTATAATGTAAAAATAAAAATGATTATATCCAAACATAGCCAAATATTTCACTGATATTAAATGTGTATGGGAAAGACTTTGTATTTATAGTCATGTAATTAACACCCTATACTAACAGACACATGCCTCAAAAATAAAATATAAAACCGACAAACACATGCATTGTTGACAAACTTCACAAAACCAGTTGAAAATGCAGCCAATGCATGATTGACTGTCATTAGGTGACATGAATTCCACATATAAATAAACTAGATAGATACAAAAACTAATATAATATAAATAGTGTGCAAGTTTAATCTAATATAAATTAAAACTAGATAGATACAAAAACCAGTGAAATCCAAAATTTAAACATGATAAGAAAAGTATTATCAATTTCACGTTTCACTCAATGAATAGCAAGTATGTTGTTAGTATTACATTCTTATGCCACCAAGAGAAATAAGAGCATTACAGTCTAATAGTATTTTAACCTACAACAATATATAGCATCAAGTAGCATTGAAGGAATTCTTTTGGTTTATACTGTGAAATATTAAGGTAGAGTAAAACACAAGCATAAAGTATAAATTATGAAAATATACATGTCATAAACAATCTAATAGTTACTTGTCAAATTTCTATCTTCTTCTCAACTCGACTTGTTTAATAAGCACAAAGTAATACTTACTTTGATTTGTAGTGCAGAACTTGTTAACAATCCTACTTTTTAATTTTTCTAATCTGAAACTATAAACATTCTAAGGTCCTAAAATCAGAAGATATATACATGAAAATTGAAATAAAATGATAGAACACTTCATTCCTCAATTAATTACTAATTCAGTAACGGCAACGTACAAATGTATTTAAAAAAAAAGTAAATCTTTAACAATAAAATGTAGTAAATACCTAAAACTGAATCGTGGAAGTTCATGTTTCACACTTTGAGAAGATATTTAGATTTGAATATGTGTTCCTTATAAAACTTCACAGCAAAAGTTTAGGTTCAATGGTTCTTTTGGGGTTGTTTGCAGAGACATGCAATGTCACATGCACTGAATCATTCATTGATGCACCAGTTGTAAAGTCACAAATACATTACCCTACATCAGAAGAAGGTTCCCTGTACATTTGTTGAGACAAAAACAGCAGGTTCAGCTTGGGACATAAGCCCCACTTGGGGCCACTTGTTTTCAAAGTTTTTTTCTACTTTTTCTTCTATGAAATTGATGTATATCTTCTTAAGGGGGACATTGAAACCGACTGGAAAATTAGAATAGGACATATTCTTAGACAGGTTCTATTGTGAACTAGTTTGAAATATGTTTAAAAAATTCATTTTGTAATGATATGGTGACATTATTTTTAATGTGTCTCAATACTAATGGCGTCTAATTCTTAACAGGGTGGAGTTGACTAGGCAAAGTATTATTGAAGATGTTCATAATGTGGTGTTACTATCATTGTTTGGATTAGTACTAATCAAGGATGGTATTGGAGTTTTACTGTCTGCACTATTGCAGTCTTGTTCTCAATTCTGTCTATTTGCATGGGAAAATCATTATACAGAAATAATACTCCTAAGGGAAGTCCTCTAATTAGAATCATGCAGGTGAATAACTTTTGTCTTTCTTTCTATATGCTTCAAATTGCTATTGTATTAATTGGACTTGTTGAACTTTCAGGTGTTTGTGGCATCTTTCAAAAACAGAAAACTCCAAATTCCAGAAAATGAAGATGAAATGCATGAGATTCATGAAAAAGAAAGAGGAGAAAATTATGAAATACTTACAAGGACAGAACAATTCAGGTTATAGATACGTTCAAATAAGTCAATCTAAACAATGCGGTAGATAAACTTTGATAAGTACTAATTTGTTTATTTCTTTTGTGGAAAAATGGATTATCAGATTCTTGGATAGAGCAGCAATTGGTAAAAACAGTACAGGATCATGGAACTATAGAAGAAAATATACTCTTTGGAAGTATAAAAGACAAAGCAAAAGCTATAGTAACACTTTTAGATCAGAGTGTAGGATCATGCCTTGTATTAGCATTTGGGTATACTTTGCTCCAGGATCTATTCAGCTGGAGAAACATAATGGGTATTTTGTTAGCCATGGTTGGGATGATTCTATATTCTTACTATTGTAAAATGTACTGGACATGTATCAGACAGATGACTGTAAAATTTCTGCAGTGTTTGGTACTTAACTCTGTCCAAAAAAACCTATTGGAATATTGCTTTTTTCTTAACCTTCTTCCCAATACTTACCACTTTCATTCACACTACCCTTTCTAAGGTATAATTAATTAACTTACATGAGTCTTGAGAATAAGCAAAAAGCCATTGAAGCTGCTGCACTAGGGTTAAAACAGGGGTGGATCGATCGGTTTGTGTTCTACTTTCTATAGGGTTAAAACCTGATACAGGGAGAAGGAGAAGCCATTGAAACAGGGGTTAAAACCTGGATCGGTCGGTTTGTGTTCTGCTAAGTTAGAGACACACAGAGAGAGATAGATAGAGAAAGAGAGAAAGAGGGAGAAGGAGAAAGAGATAAAGAGAGAGAAGGAGAAAGAGAACGAAAAATAACTTACTTGATCGTTGGTGGTTCGTGGTGGCCGGCGTGGTGGCATGGTGGTGCTTGAGAATCGTAAATGACGACGGTGGTAGAAGACGGCGTGGTGAAACCCTAGCAGCAGAGATTAGAGAGAGTGAGAGACTGTGAAACTGAAATGAAATAGAAAATCAGTAATAGGCGGTCGGTTTTGGATTTCGATGGACCCAAACAACTTATCCGAAACCGACCGGTACAATCCATATGTATCCATTTCTTGCAAAACCGATTATCCGATAACCCGTTTAACCCGAACCGCTTACTACCGGGCCGCTTGGGTAGGTCGGATTGGACCGGTTTCTTTATTTCTGTCCAGCCTTAGTTTTCATAGTGTCATCAGATTCAACCGGATATTGAATTGCATTTTCTAATCAATATGCAGTCATGTTTGGAAAAAACAGCTGATTATTATCTATGAAGCATGACAGCCCAAACACGACCCAGAACGGCGACACCAGTATTAAACACAATCGAATTTCAAGTTGAAGAATTGCAATCAATACGCCAAATACGAAAAATCATCAAAGTCTCAAGAATCCACTAAATCGAAACAAATAGGTCATTGACAGGCCGTGTTCCCAAAACAACAGAAAACTTTGTTTATTCGAAGATCGCGTAAATCCTCCTTGGAAATGATAGTAGAATCTAATCGGAGAAAAAAAATCAAACTCCGGCAAGATTTACCTAACAAATTCGTTGAGAGTAAAACAAGTATTATATAAAGAATAAAGAAATGAAGAATGAACCTGATGAAGGCAAAGGTGTGAGGACTACGCGCCACTATGGCGATGAGCGGTGGCGGCAGCAACGGCGAGATGGGAAGCGGAATCAGAAGAGTTTGGTTAGCGAGATCAAATAGAAAACTAATCAGAAGCTGATTTGTTGTTAAGCGATTAAGTTTAGAGAAACAGTTTATGTGATTTTTTATATTTAAAGAAAATTACCATATAACCCGTGGCCTTGTAGTGAAAAAGTGATTTTTAGAGGGCAAAGTTAAGGAGAAATTACACTCGGGTCTATTAAAACAATATAGACACTTGAGATCCTCTTCTAATTTTTATTGATAATAAAAAGTTATAAGTATAAATCACATTTATCTATGATTTTTGTCTGTTATTAAAATAATTTGTTGATATAATAAATTTTAGAGGAAATTAATACATACTTTAAAATTAAAAGGGATATCATATCATTTTAATTTTAATATACCTCAAGGGAGGTCAGTGTAATTGTTTTTAAAATTAATTTTGATATAATTTTTTTAATACACTTTTGTTTATGAAATCAATAATTAATAAATATAAATAAGTTTAAAAATAATGCACTATCAATAATTAAAACAATTTTATATATCCAACTAATCAAAACACTTATATTTATCATGTCATTTTAGTATTTTAAAAATAAAGTTGAGATTTATTATAATGGATGTCTCTTATTAGTTGACAGTTAAAATATTTTATATAATATATTTCCTTTTTTTCTCTAATTTAATTCAATAAAATTATGATATTATTATTATAATATAATTCTTAATCATGATATTATTATTAATAAGCTAACCAATTAAGAATTCAAGTTAGGAAAGTGACAGTAATAACACAAGAAGTTAGAGAAAGAAAAAGAGATGGAAAAATCAAGTTTATTTCAATGCTCAAACATTTTTCTACAAAACTTCAATGTTGAAACATTTTACAATATTTTTTTCAAGTCATGCCTTGCTATAATCTTGTTTTGTTGTTCCAACCACAATCGTTGAAGCCTTAACAAAGTTTGATCTTGCATTGATGACACATTAGATGTTTGATCATTGGTCATTGCAGTACTAGGCCATGGTCCAAAAGGATCATCTTCTACTTCTGTTGCCAACGTTGTTTCATTGCCACCATTTGCACTAAATGTTGGTGCCACTGTTGAATTGTTAAAACTATTACATGAATCAAAAGGAACAATACAAGTATTAGGATTCTCAACAGAATAGATTGGTGATTCTTCCATGTAATCAACATTTGAAGTTGGTGTTGAAGCATTCTTAAAAGAATCTCGTGCCTCAAAGGTTGGTGCTACAATCATCTCTAAAGAACTTTGAGCTCGAAAGGTTGGTGCAACTGTTGTGTCGTTTGGATTTATGTCGCCGAAAATAAGATCCAAAGATGATGCAAAAGGGTCAGCAGCATTAAAGTTTTGTGATGTTGTTGCTGCCTTAAAGGTTGGTGCTAGTGATACGTCGAAAACATCGTCAAAATCGGAATTGGTTGTTGTGGCTGCAAGCGGAGCTATAGTTCCAATGTCATCAAGGAATGGATTGTATTTTTGTTGAGGTGCAGGTACTAAAGGTTGATCAAAAAAATTGAGAAAAGGGTCAAAAACATTATCCAATTTAGGTGTTGATGATGATGTTTCATTAGTTATTGTCTTTGCTAATACTATTTCCCAACAATCTTTGGAACCTTCATTTGTTTGATTTTGTTGCACTTGATCTTGATTCATATCATCAAGGCTTATTATATCGAAACTCGACCTTGAATTTCGATCCAGATTCAATGATCTAACCGAAACAGAACCATTAGCGCTAATAAACTCGTCATCATATTGTGATGATTGTTTCTCGTCTTCGTCGGATACCTCGGAATACACATCATGTTCCATCGATCCGCGCGAACTCCCGGCCGCATCGGTAGCACACATTAAATCTTCCAATGATGTACATTGAGATCCAAACTCAGAGCCAGTCTCAAAAAATCTTTCGAGTGTTCCACATCTGTCAACACCTAATTCATCTTGAGATGAACATGAACCTACATTAGAGTTTTTGTGTGCCGAAAGAATCAAATGTTTAGAATCGTTGTTATTCGTATGAAACGAAGCTTGATCCTTCAAGAAAGCATGTAATGTTTCCATAAGCTCTTCAGAAACTTTCTGCACACATGGATACTCATAGGATCTACCAATTCCAATGCTTGCACAAAAAATATAAAATGTAGCTAACTCGTCGAATTGTTTATATGATTTAACACATGCATTGAATGCAGTAACACAAGCTGAAAGTGGTAAATTGAAGAAATTATCCAAAACAACACCAAGCCCATCATTTATATCTTTGTAAAGATCAAAACTTTCCTGCACAACAGCATAGAGAGAAATCTGAACCAAACGACTGTTCTTGGCAGAACCGGTCGGTCTTGTCCCCATAGCTCTATCCAACAACCTTTGCCAATAACTGATTCTATTAAGAATCAATGTAGGTTTCATTTCTTTAATACCAGGTTCATTCCTTTGATTCTTCTCATAAAACCGATTATTATACATGAATCGCCTTTGAAGTTTTCCTGTTAGGAAACAATCTAATCGTTCATCAAGGTACAACGCAAACGTTCTGATAAACGCGGTGTAATCCCAAGGACTAGAATTTGAATCATCTTTGAAACTTGAAAGGTTGAGAATTTTTGCACCCCTTTTCATTGAATGAAAAACTTCTCTAGGAAAATAGGGATCACCATCTTGGAATATTCTAAGGACAATCATAAGAGATTTGAGTGCAACAACCCAGTTTCTGGTTTTGCCTATTCTTTTGCCTATACATTGTGCACAGGCAGCAGCATAAGCTTTGTTGGAAGATACTACATTAACGATTTCGTTCACGTAACGTTCTTCGATTGGATTTTTATCATGTGTTGTTGCTTTAAGAATTATTACCTCAAGATTTGCTGCATTTGTTACCTTTGCTAGGCTAATGCTTGTTTGGTCTTTTACTGCTCCAATTGCTTTCCTTAGTTTGCTTGGCATTATGAGAGAAACAAATCAAATTACCAGAGATGTTTTTGTTGTTTATTAGGAATTTTGGATTTTAGAACGTCACTATAGGCACATGTATGCATGATGTTTGTTGAGGATTTGTTGTAAGAAGGTAAAAGTTGTTGAAAATTGACAGGTTTTGTGTGACATTTTTGTTATGAGACATGGAAGAAAGAGAATGGAGATTGAAATTTTGTTTATATTTTTAGTCTGTGGATTTGAATGGTGGAGAGTGAAAGGTGGGAGAGGGAAAATATGCACATGACCAGAGTGGTTTTTCTCTTGGTTTGTTGACCGGTTATGCTTTTGGATTAGTGATTTTAATGGTTTCATTGCCTATTCTTTCCTGGTTAGGAATTTTGTATAGATTGAGACATTATTTTTGTATGAAAATTAACCAATCTTTGATTGTTTTACAAATTTTTGGCTTTCAAAAAATCGTCATAATTTGAACCTATTTATATTACTACTTCCATAAATAATTAATTTTCTCCGTAGCTTTTTAATTTTAATTTTCCGATGAATAATTTTCATTTTATCTATAATATTTTTAATTATTTATTATTTTAATTTATTTAATTTTTACTCTATAATAAATAATTAAGATGATTTTGACAACTATAATCAATACTACATTGAACTTTTAAAACGATAATTAAAAAGAAACATAAAATTTTCAAAACAGTGACGCTTAAAATGGAATAGAGGGAGTATTTTGTAAAAAGTTGTCATTAATTGTGTACTAGTATATTCTTAAAAGGCCCACAAAAGACAACGTATGGAGTTCTCTAAAGAGAGGCGACATAAAATATCCTCCCTATTAGTTTTCTAGCCACCCACTTATTGGAACGAGCGTCTATTATTCAATTATGACGCCCATTTTCTATATCACTCGCCTTTATACAAAAACATGATAATGATCTTTATCCCTAACAATACAGGAGAGGAAGTCAAAAATGGGGAAGTCGTATTCTCAAGAATAATAAGGAAGGTAATTGCTCAATTCACACGCTCCTGGGAGTGGGTATTAATTTCTTGGTGCCTAAGATCCAGACCCAAGAGATTTCTATAAATACCTCAACCCTGAGGTTGAGAAGGACATTCAATTCACTTTGAAAAGACATAGACAAAGCTTCTCACATTCCTGCGCGAGCTTGCTCTAACACCACAATAATCCTTAAAACCTCTGACAGTCCTTAACAACTAAGGGTTGTCAGATATTATACTTTTAGTGAGTACAATTGGCATCCACTATGGCGATCCCTGGTAAAACTGACTTATGCCACCATCACAACATTCAACTAGATTTCTATCCTCATATCCTACTCCTCTATCCATCACGGTAAATAAGAAGGTAACAACTCTGCCAATAGTGATTTCAATGGAGATGAGGATGCCATGGAAGAGATGTGTGATGTCATGAACAACTTACATTGCCAAAATCAAACATTTGATGATAACTTCCTCCACATACAACAACTCTAGTAAGAGAAAACCCCTATAGAAGAGACTGAAATCCTAGACCCCCTAACCTCTGTCATATGAGATACGGGGAGCATTGATGCTAGAGAACTTCAAGTCGCCTTCGTTGGCCAAGTTTGATGGATGCAGCGACCCATGTGAGCATGTCCCTCCATCAACACACTGATGCCTACTGTTGTACCCCCAAAATTTTCCCTCTCATTTCTCAAGATATTTCCTACAAAGATCTCCAATACCTCAAGTTTGTGCAAGTATCGATTAGGTCACACAATCTCTTCAACACTGATACCTCAAATTAGGGTTTGAGTCTGTACAAAGGTAGTCGGATTTCTAATGTTGCAAATGATTTTCATGGATCATTATGGGCCCTCAGGATTACTTCTGTCAAGTTTCAAGTCTTGAATCACGATTTTTTCCAAGAAAGACATTCAAATTATCAAAAGGACAAAATGGGCAAAATTAGGGTTTTGACTGAAGATGACCGAACTTTAATTTTTGACCTAATACCTGACCTATTGGTTGGAAGCATGATCTCAAGGATCCGAGTGCGTCATTTTGACATAATCACATATTTCAATTCGTCTCCTGAGATTAATGGATTGATAGACAAAATTCGGTCAACTGGTGGAAAAAGTCAATTGTACACTAAAAAGTCAAACTTTGACTTTTCGACCAAAATTGAGTCCCAAAAATCACATTTTCATCAAGACATCCAAAATATGAAATTTGATCATCAAAAATCAAGAGAGTCAAAAATCCAACTTTGTAAGACTTAGAAATTTTTCTAAGTATTTTCTATACTTGTTAATTTCATTGCTTCATGACATCTTCAAGATGTCACAAATAATTCAAGATGTCACAAATAATTCAAGATGTTACAAATAATTCAAGTTATTACAAAGTGGCATTTTTGCAAGAGTACAAATCCTAGGTTTGGTCTTGTGTGAACTCTTCCCCTTTGACTCAAACCTTGCCACTATGCTGCCCACAAACATGCTTTGTCTTTGTTAGAATCTGCATAAATTGGTCCACAAACTAGATTTTGTATCATGCTACAAACAATGCTATCCAAGCCTGCTGTATTGCCCACATAGCAGCCCAAAACCATGTCAAAAGACAGTCTGATGTACTGCTATAAAACAACCATGCACCAAGCTGCCACAACACACCAAAATTGCTGCAAAACAGCCCTGCTATGCTGCTCATAACCCAGTCCAAGCCTGCATTATCTCATCCCCATATTTGCACCAAATTAGCAAATAAGAGATGCATCAAAAAAGCTATGAAGACAGCATACCCAAACAGTTCAAATTGTTATTTGTTTTTCTTCCAAAATCCCAGCAAAACTCATCTATAAATAGACTGTTTTAACAACACACAAGAGGTTGGGTTTTAGAGAGAGAATAGAGAGTTTTGAACAGAAAAAAATAGTACTCTTTGTAACATTGGCTCATTCAAAAAACCAGCTCTACTTTCATTCAAAACAGAACCTCAATTCATTATTCCATCTCACAAACTCTCTCATAAACTAAACACCTTATCACATAGAGATTGTTCAAACACAAGAACAATTTATGTAGTGTCATTATCTTCACCCTCCAAACACAAAAACAGTATTGTACAACTTGACTGAGTTAGTGTGATTCAATAGTTTGGGACAACTTCCTGGAGATTCATTGGAACCATCACAACAGCTGGAAAAGTATTCAGACTTAAAACACCAAGTGCAGTCCCAAGGTAAGCCTTCTTAACTTTGAGCTTTTCAATTTTTCATGCATGATTCATTTTCGAAGATAAAAATGTAATAATCATTGCCCCTTTGAGCTAACCATTTACTTGTTGTTTATGTTTATCAATTATATGCTGTAAACTGACCCAAACAGACAATAAAACAATGTTTAAGGCAAAAAAACTGCAACATGAGTCAACACATACCCACATGCGTCGACTCCTTCTAGTGAAAAAATAGGGTATGAGTCGACACATAGCCTTATGCATCGACTCATATTGTTATCCAGGCCCCAAAACAGAAGGATGAAAGGTGCATGAGTCAACACAAAACGCGTATGTGTCGACACAAATAGGAAATGAGTCGACACATCCCTTTATGCATCGACCTATAATGAGTTGGTTTGGTTTGGGAGGGGCAAGGAAAGGTATGTGTCGATGCATAACAGCATGTGTCGACACATAACAGTTCAAAATGCACTTTTCCCTTTATTTTACATTGTTTTTACATTGTCTTCATTATTATTCGATATGGTTGTAATACTTAAGTTTCTACTTCATCCCCATTTGTAAATTGTACCCCCACTCCCCTAATGATGTAATAGCTTAGGATTTTAATTTCTGCAATTTACCGCTTTAATATAAATTGTTAGTAATTAGGGTGTGTATGGCAAGATAAAATCAACTGTTAGAAAACCCTAATTTCAAAGACAAAAAATGCATGCAATCAAACACAATATTCACACGTACACCCCTAGGGTAACCTCTCTTATTGCCTCAGAAAATAGTCATGTCCCTCGAATATGGGCGTTTTAGCAAAGACCCTCGATAAAAAAAGGTCGTAGTCCCTCGATGTCCCTCGATGTTGCCTTCGGTAAACGATCTAGTCCCTTACGAAAATTGCTAAAACGTCTCACAAGTTGCCTTCTATGACTATACGATCGATCCACGTCCACCCTTCACATCCAATGATGGGGATTCTTACCAATCCATGGTAAGATAGTAACATCTAAAGGAGGAAGAAAAGAACAAAAAAAACCTTTTGAGTAGGTAGGACACTTGTAGTTGCTTGCTCACAAATCAAAACCATTTTTACACTTACACTTTCAAAACATTTAAAATAAAAAAACATCTCTTTGAACTATTTTTAAAACTAACACTTTGTGTACATTCTTATAGAGACGAGAATCATTACAAAGTTTTCCGAAACAAAGGCGTTTTCAAAATACTTTCAAAAATCCACCACAAACACATTTCAAACAAAGCAATTTCAAAAGTGATCTAGCAAGCAACTAAGAGCTCGTAGATAACTACGAATGAAAAGGGTGCTAACATCTTCCCTTTTCATAACCTACCCCCCGAACTCAAGAAATAATCTCGAAAGGTCTTTCTTTTTATTTTCACCCTTTCTTTTATTGGATAAAAGAAAAGTCGGTGGCGACTCTTGCTATTCGCAA